CTTCTGCACTAGAACCAGCTCTCCGGGTACTTGCTGAGAAAGTTCAAGAACAGCAATGGCTGGCAGAAACTTTGGGTCGTCTTCACCAACTTTTGCTTGTTCTTCTACAAAACGCACCAGGTGAGCAAACGGAGCTGAGGGTCCTTAACACGTTTGGGGATTGGGGGGAACCTGGGGGTCCTTGGCTTTCTGCTCTGGGTGCAGCTCACTGCTATTTGAAGGAGAGCAAGTGGAAGAGGAGCTAGTTTGTGATGAGGCAGGTCTCTGTAAGGCCACGGGCCCTTCTTGCAGAATTTAATCAGTGTTTCCAGTTCTGTTGATGCACTAACCTGAGAGGAAGGGGAAAACGCCTCCTCGTGCAGTGACTCACGGAGGTGAGGAATCAGCGGCTTTTGATCAGGCTCTGCCCATTTCTCTCCTTCCTGGGTTTCAGCACAGTGGAACAGACACTGGGGATTTCTTATGGTGCCTTCAGTGCCTGCTTGGTAACAAGCCGTGCTGTAGTGCAGCCTGTGCCTTTTCATCTCATTAACCCATAAACTGGGTTCATTTGGTTCAGGCTTCTTGTCTGGAGGGCACATTTCTTTTGGGAGGGGTGTTTTAAACATTCACGTCAGGTCTGTGCTTGGAGTCCCAGAGAGGGGATGCCTCGTGCTAAGGACCGGGCTGTTGGGCTCTTCCAGGACGATTACCCCTTGGCCAGTCTCCCGCTGCTCGGCTACACAGTCAGCTCCCCCGTGGAGGCAGACGGCATTCAGAAGGATTACGTCTTCAAGCTGCAGTTCAAGTCCCACGTGTATTTCTTCAGGGCTGAGAGCAAATACACCTTTGAGAGGTAATTTTCTGTCGTCTCTCTCTGTCCTGGTGTAACATGCTTTGAATGCACTGGCTGATCATCCAGAGCCCTCTCCTTGCTCCTCATTACCTCCTAGTCCAAGTGCTCAGCCCCATTAGGTTTCACAAATCAGATTTCTGGGTTAATGAGAGTTCTGGTAAGGATGCTTCTTTTTTCCTCCCAATCTCTGGAAACGGGAGCTACAACACAAGGCTGAGAGCAGCACGTGCAGCGCTGCTTTTCACCTTGCTGCTTTCTCTGTAATTCTGCTCAGCGTCTAAAATCCATCACATACAAACATGTGCAAAGCTTTGCTGTTCCGCTAGCTGCTGAAAACCCTCACACTGCTTTCTGCCATGTGGGATGGTATTGGTGGTTTTGGAGTACGGCTTTATTGAGGTGTCACGTACTCTCCCCTTTCTTGGGAAGGTGTCCCACACTTGCCTGCAGTGTACAGAGCGAGCAGAGTTGTGCTCTTTAATCCACTGGGCTCATATAGTGATTTTGGGGAAAAAATGGCTAATTCACAGTGGATGTTTGTCTTGCTTTGCCTTCTTCCATATGAGCAAGTCTGTTACGTCATTTATTGTAAGAAAAGCAGTCCATTGATTAAAGGCAGTATTTTGTCAGCCTGTCCTCCTTGGTGAATGCTTTCTGTGTACTTCCAAGAGAATGGTGTGCTCCCGTGAGACCGCTCTGGAGCTCAAAGCACTGTGGAGCTGTTTCTTGGACAGGCAGCTGTGTGCTGCAGTGCATTTCTCACATCTCAAGCCGTTCATTTGAAGAGTTAATTTCCTGAAAGAGTTCTAAAAGGTAGAAAATTGGTGAGGTTTGGTGAAAGGGGTACAGCTCGTAACCGAAGGACACGGTTATGCATCTGTCAGTGAGGGGCCAAGCATTTCTCATGTCGTTTCTCACCAGGTGGATGGAGGTGATCAAGAGAGCCACCAGCTCTCCGGCCAGGTCGAGCCTGCTGCTTCCAAGGGATGAGAAGGACGCTCACCGAGACTGAAGTGGGGCAGAGCTGGATCTCTGCTGAAAACACCAACAAAAGAGGCAGGTGGAAACGGGAGTGTCTGGAGTTGAACAAAGAACCAGGAGGCTCATTTCCACCTGGTATGGAAAGTGGGAGCGAGGGAGTTGCAGACGGGGTCACATCCATTCCCAATGGCATGGAAGAGGGTCGAGTCTGTTCTGGCTGAACCTACTTAGAGAGACCCTAACAACCGCAGAGCTCTGGTGTGCACACTTCGTGGAAGGTTTATTGTTCCAGTTGTACCTGTACAGTAACACCCTTGCCTGCCCTGAGGGCAATTGCCACCTTGTTTTTACATTTGGACTGGACGGTCAGTGTCTGTGGGAGGAAAGCAGCAGCTGCCAGGGTGCAGCTGGCTCACAGCTGCTGGTGCTGGGGCATGCTGGCTCCCCGAAGTTCCTGTCCGCTGATGCTCGGCATCGTCGGCTCTACAACTGCCAGCTTGCTGCTGTTAATGTCAACCTGCTGGCACAGCCATCTCAGACTAATGAGGGAGCCCCAGCTTAAACACAGTTCATTTTGAACAGAAACTGCAGCTCTTGGAGGACAACGCTGCTCTTTGGGAACTGCTGTGGCAGCAATTATTCTCCAGGGGCAGCAGGAAGACTGAACCTCTGCTGAGGTTTTGGTGTATCATGGGTTGGTACAGGTAGGGTGCATGGTTTTCACTCGGAGCTTGGCTGTGGCACACGCTGAGAGGGTCAATCGCCGTTCTCCTATCACAGCTCGAGTTTCTTTATCCTGTAGTAGGCATTACTTAAGGCATGGGATGGCAAACGCACTCCGCCCTGATGTGGGTGATGTTCTCAAGGCATTTAAGCAATGCAGGAGAAACAGCTTCTCTGAAAGTCACTGTTGCTTGTGCTTGTATCACACAAAAGACTTCTGAAAATCCCTATTCTTAAATTTGGGGTGGAATCCATCTTCCATTTCTCATGAAGGTGTAAAAGTCACTGGATTCCAGATGGAGCATTAGCGTCTGTGGACTCTATTAAAAGTCTCTGTATTAAATCTGGACTGTTTGCAGTTTGTTCTGTTTTTGTAAAGCTGTCACCTCTGGTTGCCTCCACAGAAGGACTGAAGTAAGCTAAGCGCCACAAAATGCTGTTGGACGTGGCTTTGATGGGCTCTAGGGACTCTGCTTCTATATTAGAAAAGTATTTGTGTATTAGAAGAAGGAACAAAGAAGTGGTGTAGTGAAAGAAAAAAGAAAGTGTTGCGTGTTGAGAGGATGGAGGAATGTGAAGATCCTGGGAAAACGGGCAGTGCAGAGGCCGTGTGCATTCCCCGAAGCTGTTTCAGGTCCTGTGCAGATGAGGACTGCAGGGAGGGGGCTCCAGAGGGATTTTCCAGACGCCTTCAGGAGTGACTGCAGATCCAGCCTTCACTACCGCTGTCACAACAATCATTGTCCCGTGTAAGTTAAATGTACTTAATTTATTAGTGTCTTCCTTTTTTAAAAGTAACTGTTGCAGGTGTACACGTGTGGATTGACTAGCTATGTTATAATGCAGCTGAATATGACTGTTGAAAGTAAATAGCATCTTGGTATAAAACTATGTCAGCCTCTTATTCCTGAGCCCGTCCCCAGCCATGGCGATGCTCCTGGGAAGACGGGCAGCATCTGCGCCGCAGCATTTGCTTTTCCTCAGCACCGAGTGCCGAGGTTCCACACTGTTGGTGTGCTCTGGCGCGTGTGTGTTACGAGAGGAGACCTGGCCCACAGCCAGGCGTGACAAGGACAGGCGAGCAGGAGGAACGGGTGTTTCTGCAGGCATGGTGTTTTCTGCCTGGGGTGCAATAGCCTGGCATTTGGTCCTGGTGTTTCTAATTTTTATTTTTTCTGCTTACTCTTAACATCAGCTAGGCCTTGTCTAAATTACCTCCATAAATCAGCTGTCAATCTCCATACTCCTGTGTGTTGAAGATCAGCCCGACATGTACCGGGTGGTACAGGGGACAGAAGGGACAGTCCAAGCCGCAATGCAGAGGCTCGGCTTTTGTACGCTCCCTTGCAGGCTCCAGCCGAGTCTCTTCCCTTGCCACTTGTTTTTCTGTCTCCTATCCCAGGGAATGCTACTTTAGCTGTTAACACAAGAAAATACCTTCTGACACCTAAAAAGTGATCAAAGGACACAGTGGAAGGCTGCACTCTGAGGGTTAAGTTGGTGCCTGTCTGGGCACTTATGCGGCCAATCCAGGCTGTTGAACACCTACGCTTTTGTTACCCCCCCAACACCTCTGTGCAGCAGAACAGTTCTGTTCCAGCCCCTGTTACAGGGAGATGCACTGAGCAGGAGTCCTGCCTTAAGAGTTTTTGGGCAGTCAAGGAGCATACGACCCTTTAGCTGCTCACTTGCTTAACTGCAGCTCAGTACTTCCTATGTTGAAGATGAGCGTGCTGTCTCCTCCTGAAGGAGCCTCTGGCGTTAGCTGAGAAGAAACTGAGAAGGGCGCAGGCAGCAGAAATCCCTTCTTGGGTGGAGAAGACCAAACTCAAATGTGTCTGCATTTAAAATGTAGGAGCACGGGCTACAAAAGCCAGAAACTTCACTGCTCCTGGCAAAACCGCTTACCTCTCACCTTACAAGCTTTCAAACAGAGGAGGATTTCAGTGGCGTATGGGTTCTGCTGTGAAATACCATGTGGGATTTTGACTTTACCAGAACTTTGCAGGAGTATTCTTGTGTGTTTGTTACACTTATGAGTAGTTTCCTTAACGAGCATGAGGAAAGAGCAGAATACACCTGGGCCTTAAGTGTTAGTTCTTGCTTAGCAGGAGGTAACGTTAAGGGAAGAGACAAACCCATGCTCTTGGGACCTCATGGCTTGATATCGCAGAACCAACTGTGACCTTCAACTTTATCACAGAGTGGTTTGGGTGGGAAGGGGCCTCAAAGCCCCCCCAGTCCAACCCCTGCCATGGGCAGGGACACCTCCCACCAGCCCAGGCTGCTCCAAGCCCTGTCCAACCTGGCCTTGGGCACTGCCAGGGAGGGGGCATCCACAGCTTCTCCAGGCAACCTGGGCCAGGGCCTCACCACCCTGAGAGTGAAGAATTTCTTCCCCATGTCTCATCTACCTCTCCTCTATTTCAGTTTAAAGCCGTTACCCCTCATCCTATCACTGCAGTCCCTAGTATAGAGCAAGGACAGGCACCCACAAGGTTTTAAACACACACTTAAAGTGGCATCTCCAAAGTGTTTATCCTGTAACTGCAGTCACATGCCCACAGTGCAGGGCTGCTGGAAATCACCTGGGCCAAGCCCCTGCTCAAGCAGGGCCACCCCTCAGCCGGGTGCCCAGGACCATGTCTGGGCAGATTTTGATCAACCCCAAGGATGGAGACTCCACCACAGCTCTGGGCAGCCTGGGCCCCTGCTTGGTCACTCTCACAACTGCAATGGGAGAAGGATGAGGGCAGAGGTGTCCTGGTATCAGCTTTTACAGTCAAAACGGAGTCTAAACACTGCAGATCAATCAACAAACTCCAGCAAAAACTGCACCAAAGCATTCTCCAGAGTACAGCTGAATGCCCTCCTTGCACAAGAAGTATTTAAACAGGTCACTGAGGCAGGAAGGTACAAGGGAAGACCAAGTAGGCAGCACAAACAGTACAGCTTGAAGAAATACATTTTTCCCTAATGATACAAAGTTACACCAACCTCATTTGTTTTGTTACTTTATTGAAAGTGGCAGATCCCTTTCAATGTTTTTAAAAACTAAAACCACTGTTGCTTTGAATACTGGATGAAGTTTGTGGGAATTGTTTCCTTTAAAAACTTTACTCATTACACTGCAGTGCACATGAGTAGTAAGACAAGGTACCTTATTGACACAATTTGCTACCGTCAGGAACAGCAACTTTAAAAGCAGCAGAAGCCCTTCAGCTGCCTTCCTGCTGGACTGCAGCCTCTGCCTTCCACCTCCATACTTTTCTTGTCTATATGTTAACTCCTGCTTCTGAGGACAACAAATGGGTTTGTTCTGTTCTTCATAAGCACAGGCTCTGAGATGGTTCTCACCAGAGACGCCACCCTGCAGCAGATCTCCAGCGAGACCGAACAGCAGCACCTCTTCTCCACCGGATGAGCTGATGGGGCTTGCTGAGCCTGCATTTATCCGTCAGAGAGGAAGGGTAGAGGATAGCCACGAGCTAAACACTGCACACCAGGACGAGGGGATGCGTGGTCCTTTTAGCCCAGCACTTACCATCTGCAGGTCTGAATCACAGTACCAAAACCCAAGCCTTGTTACTAACAAAGCGGCCTCCTATTTTAAAAAAAATGCTGAACAGCTACAGCTTTTGTTCTCCGTGGCTTTGGGGTGAGCCACATCATTCACACACAAATGCCCAGACAGAAAGAGCTGAAGATCTAAGGTCTTGCTGACTTAATGGGAATATCTTTACAATCAGAGAGCAGGTCTCTAAGCAACCAGCTATAATAAGTTATTTTCCTAAGTCTATTGTTCTAGACCTTTAAAGTACAGATTTAGGATCTGTGCATTTACCTGAATTAAAGATCTGCTTTACAAACTAGTATTACACAAAGCAAAGCTAGTTGGGGATGGCTCCACCGGAATTCCTTAAGCAGCCAATGCGGCAGCAGATGCTCTTAATTTCTCTGCTAGCGAACACCACTGCAGCTTGTGAACTGGAGCAGAGCCCTGGCTTTAACGAGTTTAGATCCCAGACTGAAAGAAGAGCCAGAAAGGGAAAGCTGAGAAGGGGATGGAGGCCGAGACCAGCTTTTGCGAACCCCACCACACCACAGGGATACCACTGCACCATCCCATTTACACCTTTCTGTAGAGAACAGGTACCTGCTGCGCAATGGCCATCTGCCTTCCGACCTGAAGCCTTGTCAGCGCCTTTGACTGTTGTGTTCCCCCTCAGCCCCCTTTTTTTAATCCTTCTGCAACATTTGGGCACACACAGTTGGTGTCTGCTCAGCTCAGCGACCAGGACTGCCAAA